CACCAAAGAGATTTAGAAGTTAAGAATATTTACAAGATACCTAATTATAAAATCACGAGAACAAATGAAATCATTGAATTTTTTTTAAGAAACTGTTCACCACAATGAAAGCAGTTAGCCAAATTCCTGAAGCATAGCAGTAAATTAGGGTGAAGCTGAAATATCTGTGGGCTTCAGTGAGTCCAATGTTCCTTCCAAATAATAACGTTTATTGGTGTGTTTCTAATTATAAAAGTTATTCATGCTTATTTTAGAAAACTTAGGGGGGAACAGAAAAAAACAGAACCATCTTCAACCTTACTCATGCCTGAAATTTTGTCGTCCGAGGAGAAGCAATTGTATATTCCTCTGAGGGCCTTTTTTCAAAGCAACTGCTTTATTTAGCTTAAGGTATGTTTGAATTTGTAATATAAATGAGAATATCTGACAACTGTACCAATTACAGTGACTTTCTACTGTGCTTACTGATAGTAGGGCAGATCAATTTGAGATATACCATTCCTTATTTTTCTTTCTTTAAATTACTTTTTTCAATGAAAGTTACACTGTAACTTTAGAGCATTTGGAGGGGATCTGAAAACAACACACCTCATCCTCATGCTGCTCCCCAAGACAATGATACTGGTCTGTTCTCATCCAGCTCCAAAGTTTTTCTTTATTTCACAGATGTCTTCTTAGAAATGGATGGACTCAGGTCCTCTTAGAAAGGCAAAGGTGACAATGGTAGGCTGTAGACCAAGAGGTCGGCAGGCTACATAAGACAAAAGTTTTCAACAACTGAGCTCTCTGGGCAGAAAGGCCATCTGAGAAAGGGGTTCAATCTGAGTTGTTTCATAACAGCAAACTCAGAGGTGTTAGGGCCAAATGGTCCCTCCCTCCGCGGCTCACATTTGCTACTTGTGCTTCCTTGGTGGGAAGGAGTGCCACCTTGGCCTCACCAAAAGTGGCTTTTACTCCCCTACCAAGCACGCAAATAACCAACCTATCTGAGCTGCCCCAGGCACATAAATGCTTGTTGAGTGCAAGTGAAGAAAACCAAATTTATGATCACTTCGGCACTCTTACCCAGAACATCAAATAGTTTTCAGGAAAGATCAACAGTTGAACTAAGTTAAGGGGTAAAACTTTTAAGCAAATGGGGGCTTAACTGGGTATGTACCGAATGAGGTGATGATGATGATAGAAAGGGAGAAAAGGGAAGAAAACGTGAAGGCCATGGAGAGTTACGCATTTAGCAAAACATTATGCTTATCTCAATGAATATGTGCACAATGTATATGCATATATGTTTATGTCATATATGTACATGCATATGTGTCACTATACATATATGTGCAGATGAAATAGCTCTACAAAAATGTGCTGGGCTCTGGTGCTGATGAGTTTATTTTTGCAGAGAACTGAAAGAGGAATTGAAAATGCCAAAAAGTAGAGGATGTCAGATGCTAAGGATATGCTGAAGGAATAGAAATCCACAACGAGAAAAATGCTACATTTATACATGAGCAGGAATCTTACTTTTTGCTTTCATGAATTTTAAAGTTGCATTGATTTGACTCAGCCAATCTCATTAGCATCTCATTTATGCTTAGGACTTTTAATGATATGCTAATGGTCTATCTGAAATGAAGGCCAGAAACCCACATGTCTAGAGAATTTTTTATTCCTTGGAAAATTCTTCCAGCGTTTGGAAAGTGTCAGCCCTGGATACCGTCTCCTTAGCGTAGAAAAAGGAATCAGTGAACATTCCTCCACTCCCACAGATGCTCTTGGTCATCTCTGCAATCCTGAGGCTCAAGGGCTGTGTGTTTTGGAAAGAGTGACCTTGGTGCAAGGATCACCTAGGTGCTTGTTATATGCAGATTCTGCAGGAAAACATACAAATTTCTAGGCTTAAACCCAGCCTTACCAAAAGAGAATATTCAGGCATAGGGCACCAGATATCCCAAAGTTTGAAAGCATAGTGTAGCATAAATGTTAGAAATATTTGTTTAAAATTCTCAGACTATGGAAATCCAGACTGATGTTTACTGGCTCTTCTGCCAACAAGGGTCGCTCATCCTTTAGTCTTAAATTTGCTCGAATGGACAAACAGATAAATGATAAAACTACAGGAGGAGAAATAAACTGATATTCAAGAAGAGAAAATTGGGAAATCTTGTCTTCAGTAGGTGCACCAACTTTTGGGCCATTGTCGTAATTATGACAAATGCCACTTTTTGATGACTACTTTGCATTTAGCATTTCCCCACTTACGGCCGTGGGGGTCTTCTCACATGATCTTCTCAACAACCCAATGAGATTGATGCACCTTTATTTTGCAATGGGTCCACTTGGGTTCAGAAAGATTGAATAATTTGCACCGAGTCTCCTTGGATTAAGCTGTGGACGTGGTGTATCTTTGATTCCAGAACTTTGGATCTTAGCCTCAAGACAGTGCATTCACTACTTTTGTAAACCGCAATCCTGAGTGCACCTCCTAGGGAAGCTTTACTTGAAGTATTTTCTCCTCTCTGCATGTCTGAATATAGCTCAAGCAGTTGGTGTCACACATGTCACGTCAGTAACAAGAGCCTTGTCAAAACCGCAAGCAGAGAGAATTCTGTGCTGGCTGTTGTTCCCCATGGATTTCCAGATACAGGGCTTCCGTATTTCTCCGTACCACCCTTAGAGCCAGGTTTATGTCCACTGTGCGTACAGATACATTGCTAAGTTTAATTGAAAAAGTAAGAGTGCTGATAATGTTCTGTTTTAGAGTCTAGGCGCTGATTATACGGATAGACTCCATTTGTGCAAACTCCAGCAAGCTGTACAGTCATGAAATGTCCACTGTTCTTTATGTACTATATATAATATGTAGATGATAACATTCAAGAATAAAATAAAGCCATAGTCTTTGATAGAATTTTGTATTTTAGCTACTGAAGCTTACTTCACTGTACCATCTTCCACCGTTCCCCCTTTCCCTTTCATTTCCAAATCAACAAGCAGATCTTTCTGGTGAAAGGTGGCGAAGAAATTGTTCTAGCAACTGCACGTCCACATACTGGTTAGACCAAAGGTGCAGAGTTGAGGTTAACCCTGCTCATGGGAATGGGCTGCTTCCCTGTTAAACTCTTCTCATCTCTTGACTTTGGTCATTTCAAAAGTGTAGCACATTTTTCTAGTATGTTAACACATGTGTCCTAAACAGGCTGACAAAAAGTATCTTGAAGGTGCTTTAAAATTTTTTGCTTAAGTAACCTCATAAGATCCCCACATCCTTTAGTTTTGTCTGTATTGAGAATCAGCTGTTACTTTTAAGTTTTAATAAATTTCACATGTTTTGTAGTGCAACTGTGTTTGGTTAATTGCCACCTTTAATTAGTAGCCTCTGGACTGGTGTATACCAGACACAGGCATGTTATTAGTGTGAACTGAAGCCTACGTGTGTTACTCCGTAACAGATCAAAACAAACCTTGTGTGCTCTGACAGCATTAACCCCACCGAGACCTGGCCAGGATATGGTTTTCAGTTGTAAAAGAAAATTGTAATTTCCAAGTCTTTGCCAGATGTTGTACCCCCATACCTCAACTTCACTGCGTCTAACCAGAGTAGGTGGTCATATAAGGTTTAGCCAAAGGGACCAGGTTTGGTTTTTTTGAATCACTGAAAAATTAAAATCACTCAAAATATTAAACATGGGCAATTTGATGCATCTTCTTTTTTAATTTTTTAAAAAATATTTTGAATGGTACATTTGGGGGACACCTTCGTAATTCTCGCATATAATGTAAATTTTTTGACAGTATTATATCAAGAAGAAATGTTTTAATCTATAAAATGTAAAAAGATGCTAAAATCAAATGACTGAATGTGAGCAAATTAGAATGGGAACACAGACCCTGGAGCTGGAGTCTTTCAAGAAGTGAACAAAAGAATTTTAGGAATTTGTTTAAAACCTGAACCACGCTGCAGATACTACCAAGTACAAATTGCAAAAACTTATCTCAATTGACCAGGAAAAACAAAGAGAACTAGTGTATTCTCAAAAATTCAATGGCAATGACCTCTGAAGTGTTGAAAGGTCTTAAATAAAATTCAAATGCTAATGTGAATCATATGATTATAAGTGGTTTGTGTGGGCACATTGGGCTAGTGAGAAGATTCTACCCAACTTGGAGTTAAAGAAATGACTATGAACCCTTGGACTTCCAGGCAATTTACTTACTCCTTCCCTGGTCATTCTGTTACACGGTGCTAACAAAATATACATTTAGTACCTTACATTTCTCATATCCTTTCTTAAACTACTAGATTTGTGAATGTTTTCTTTGGTTAGACAATTGGTCTTATTTTAATACATACTTAAATTTAACCTCAATAAAATTTCACAGTAATATGTAATACAGATGGTAGGATATAGTAGTAGCTTTCACCTTATAGGCAAGTATATTTTATCTGGCTATAACTATAAAAAGTTATTCCTGAGGGAAAACTGTAGCAAGATTTTCCCCCCAACTGGATTTTATTGCAGTAATGATCAACGGTAAATCCCAATGATTTAAAATGTAAATTATTGTGCTCACTTCAGCAGCACATATACTAAGATGTAAATTATTATATTATTTTTTCCTATACAGGAGTAACTGTGGAAAGAACTGCATGGTATTCTGGCTATGTACATAATTTGATGCTAAGTTCCATGATGACTAATTTAAAAGATACCACTATGTTTCTAAGCTTTCAGAAGCCTCTGCCTGCCAGCAATTGATAAAAGAGCAAAATTTTAAAATGTGGCAAAAGGAAGTGCTTTTTAAAGAAATGTCTTTCTTTTTTTTTTTTTTGGTATCGGGAATCAAACTCATGACCTCAGCCTTGTGAGGCAAGCGCTTATGCTGCTGAGCTGCATTCCCCAGCCCAACTTCTTCCCTTTTTTACATACCTTGAACTTGTGAGAAACTGAATATGTAAGAAAGGGGATTTCCATTCAACTCCAGGAGCAGAATGTTTTGTTTTTGTTGTTGTTGCTGTTGTTGTTTTTAAACTAGCTTTTAGCTTACTAAAAAGTTTACTACTGCTAATTTGTGTATGTGAACTAAGCCATAAGACCACACAGGTGAGTGTGAGTTAGGCTATGAGGCTGGGGCACAAATTTGAACTTTTTTGGGAATGTTCCCTTTTGACTTGTTTTCTTCTCCAGATAAAAACCATAGAGGCAGAATTTGTTACTCTTCATGCTGTGCATAAATTGTTGCTGACAGGCTTTTTGAATGGTATTATCCTCTAAACATCCTTCAGAGAAGTAAGTATTTTACTCTCTCCACTCCATTTTAAATTCAAAATTTTCAGCTTCAGGAATTAACAAAATCCAAGGATGTCTTCTTGATTTACTTTCTTCTCCACTTGTCACTAGCAAGTTATTTCAGAAATTTCCCCTTTTCAGATTCAAATGGGACATCATGAGTTGTTTCTTTCTTCCTCGTACGGTGAAAATGATTTAAAATTATCTATAATTCTAAAAACTCATAATCAGTACAACTTAAAAATTTGATGAAGATTTATAAATAGGATCCTTTGGCCTTTATTATCAGGCTCGTTGACACTTTAATGGCTGCTTGCTAAGTTTTTAAACAGTTTATACTAATATTTAAATATGTTATTGTGTTATTGGCAAAGAGAGTCGTATCACCTTATTTGTGGGATATATGTGCATATGTTTGTATAGTAAATTCTTCTCTTTTTTTCTGCCTCCATGGGTTGCAGACTGGTGTGTGACAATAGCAAAAGATTTGGATTCTGCTTCATACTAGCTGTGTGACAGGTTAGTTCCTTAGTAAGTATTCGATGTATGGTAAAATGACCATATAGTGATTTTGTCTTTGTCAGTGGTAATCTCTCTTAGTTTTTCTATGTAGTGAAAGTCACTGTTTCTTTTAAAACTTATGTGTCCAGCACTTTTTATCTGATGGTGTCCACGCACACCAAGTAACTCACTTTCCCCAGCGTGGAAGTTTTAAAAATGTAATGTTCTTTGCATTACCTAGCACGCTCACTCTTTTAAAGATACTTTCAAAGGACGTTACCACTCAAGAAAGGCCTATCGACATAAGCTTCCAGTGGTTTTTTTTCACTGTACAACTTCAAACAAAGACCTAATTGTTCTTTGTTCAAGGACTTTAACCTAGGATGGTTCTTTAGCCATGATGTAAATATCTGTATACAGACCTTCCCCTTGCAAATGGCATCAGAATACCCTATTGCTTGCTATGGAGATGTCTCTTACTACTGTTGAAACTCAGAAGTAGGCATTGAACAGTTGTAGAGACTTGTTAAAGGACGTTTTAACAATAATGGTAATTTTCCATAAAATAAAATTGACTTCAGTTTTCTGTGAAATGGGTCCAATGAGAGAGAGAGTCCACAACTGATTCCCAAGTCTTCCTATACCCCTCTGTGATAATTTTTATTGCGGCAGGAAGTAACAGCTGAGACTGAAATAGAACAACTAAGTTGCGTATAAACAACTGTGGGAAAGCCAGAATGCTAAGGACAGGGGAAGAGGTGTCAGAGGACTGGCCAGTGCACACATTGGACAACTAGACATTAGAATTTTAACTGTAATCTATTGTTCAAGGGTTACACTTTTGTGAGTCCAACGAAGACAGCAGCACCTCCAGCGATAACATACTGCTGTTTATCTGTTTATCCCACTGGTGGAGCACAGGTCTCTTTTGCATGTTGGAGAAGTCAGAGGCAGACACCCCCGCTCCGGGACAGAAGAAGGCGGTGAGACAGCGAAGTCAGAGAGTGCCAGTCGCCAGTGGAGATGCTGGGGCTGACTTCGTCACGGAGACGGTCTGGTGTCTGACTCAGCGTGCTGTGTGAAGCCTTCCATGGAGCCTGACCCATTTCCAGCCTTCTCAGGAGGTTTTCTCATGATAGGGAGACCCCCATGAGACTCCCAAATCATGCCATTTTACTTTTGCACATGCTGCTTCTTTGGCCTGGAAAAGTCCTCATCCTCCTGTCACCTTGGGGAAAGAAGCACTCAAGCCTCACTTCCTCCGTAAAGCTTTCCTGCACTCAGCACACCGCCGTGCGCCCCACGTGGTACCGGGGCTCTCTCTCGGTGCTGCTCGTATATTGTAGGTGTGGATGTCGGCTTGCAGTCACCTCGCTGCACTTCAGGTCTTCCTCTGTTTATGTCTTTCTTTCACTGCTCCGTCAGGCAGGCTTTGCGGTTGATTCCTCTTCATATGTGCTGCACACAGCAGAGACCCTGGCAGATTGGAGGCCCCGCTTTAACACAGAATAGAGGAACAGGACTGTGAGTTAGGCGCTCTGTCTTCTGACACACTTTGATGATGTAAGTGTTCTGTTCGGGAGCTAAAGCACACTGACCACTTAGGGAATTCCAAATCTGAAAATTGATTGGGAGATTAAGCAAATAATTTCAAATGGAAAGAACAAATTATAGTTAACATGATTAGGTGCTGCTTGAAAATTTTCAGAAATGTGTGGAGCAAAATTAAAAATATTTAAATAACATATATTTAAACTCCAGCTTTTATCAGAGCCTCAGATATATATATATCTATATATCGATATAGATAAATATATATATATATATACACACATACATATATGTTTTTTTATTTAAATTCTAAACTCTTCATAGGGAAAGGAGAATAATTTTACTTCCATTTCCAGATAAATAGGCACAGCATTTGATACACAGTTAATGTTCAATAAATGTCTAATTTATAGTATACACACACACTTCATCACCACATACCACACCCACTTCTTGAGAGTCCACAGAAAGTCTTCTGATATTTTTGGCCAACACACATGTGATTGAGACATTAATTTTTGTGAGGCAGGTGCTTGTGCCACTGAGCTACATCGAGACATTAATTTTTAACTGAATGTCATTTTTATAAAATTAATTAATGCAATTAATTAAATTAATGTGTACAGGATTTAGTCTCCCCAAGTTTCGCTGCTCAGTGACTGCAATTAGAGAATACAACTTCTATTGTTTTTTCCCATTATTAGTATTATATTTGATTTTAGGTAAACATTTTTAGAAATGCTATAGCTATAATTGCATCGAGAAGCTAATGTCTTATGAACATGTCTGTAGTTGTAGGAATGATTTTGTCTGAGAGAACTTCACCAGAAGACCTACTTTCTCTCTTTGTGTGAGGAAGACAGGGCAAATACAAGAATTTCTCCCATGTAGTACCGACTTCCTCTGTGGCCCCAGAGAAGCCATTTGAACTCTCTTTGTTAGTTCCCCCAGCTATAAAATGGAACTAATAATGACTAATAATGTATTTCACAAGGTAACTCTGAAGATTGAAGTAGCCGTGTTTCAAGGTGGTAGGCCACAAGTATGGAATATTTGTATAGTGTGAAACTCCATAAGACCAGTGGTTTTCTAGCTGAATGGGAATGCTTTCTGTTAGACTGGGTTTTCAGATCCCCTCAGTTCAATTAAATGCCCAAGTCCAGGGACTTGCAAGCAAGGTGCTTTATTTTTATATTAATAATTTCACTTCTATTGCAACTGTAGGCAGGTCACAAACTTTCTCTGTTCCTCTATTTCCTTTCAGGTCCTAACGCAGTAGATCTGTGCCAACTCTGACATGACCGTGGAGTGAAGAGGGAACATACTGTAAAATGCTTTACTTCTGTGGTGGAGATGCCAGAGATATTATTCTACAGATGGGAAACTGAGTCCCAGAGAAGCAAACAGACTTGCCTTAAATTATGTGACAAGTGGACCTCAGGCAAAACACTCAGCATGTTGGATTATAACCAGTTATTTCTGCCTTCTGGCTTTCTAAGAAAATACAGGTAGAATTTCCTGTTAGAGAAGCAACCCTTCATATTTTCAGGATGGCCGGTTCTCTTTCACCTGTCCAGTTAGCATTTGCCTCGTCCTGAAGGTGGAACGTGTTCCCTGCTGAGCTGTGGGGTGGAAGAGGAGGTGGGCACCCCTCGTTGCCTAAGAGATGAGCTGGATTGGAATTGAAGCTTTATTGGCTGGCGAGAACACTCTGCGCTGTTTGCTTGCTCTGTAACTTACAGAAAGCAGTATCTGGAGAGGAGGCCACGAAGGAAAAGAAATACTGTGAAATATCCAGCCCTGGACAACGCAGCACACAGAAAGGGGAAATAGAACTTGAGCTGTAAGTCCAAAACAGTCAGTGCAGTCACCGTGATAGCGCACAACGGGGGCGGAAAGGCTGAAGGATCCGGAATGGTACTGACTCCGGGTGCTGCCCAGTCGCCCTCGCTGCTGAACTCAGAGGAACCTGTGTTCCTGCACAGACAGTCTTCAAGCGGCAGAATCTCTTGCCTACAAGGTTCGCAAAGCATATATTGCTGCTGATCTGAAACCCACTAGGAGAGGCTGAGCAGGCTGGGGAACTAAACAGGTTTTGTAGAATGATGAATTTTTTGGAAGACCTAACATATTCTTGGCACTCGGTGACCTCACTGTTATTTTTCCAAGTCTTAGTTGTACAGTACACTAGCACAAGGACACGGGATGCCCGGGTAGGGAAGAAAAGAGACTGGCAAAACTTCTTCAGGTCTTCCCCAGTGGTTACATCGCTTGGGCTTTGGGCTAAGAGGAGCAGAAAAAGCAAAAAACACTGGCTGAGAGTTTTGATTGTTTATTCTATCCCAGGCCTTCTGCTGAACATACACACGTTATCTAGTTTAACCAGTAGACCCACACCATCCTTCCCTGAGGCTTCTAAGCTTCCCCTTTTAAGATGAGAAAACAGGGGCTTAGCTAGGTCAGAGAGTGTAGCTGTTAAGAGCCTGTGCTCTGGCTGCAGCCAGACTGTCTGGGTTTGAATCCCAGGTCCTCTACTTCTGAGCCCTGCGACACTGAGCAAGGGATTTCACTGCTGACTCATGTATAAGAGGATGTGAAAGTCGTACGTGTCATTGTGATGATTAACTAGCACAATGCATACGGAGCACTGGGAAGAATATCCCACGCTTAGGATTTAATAAATGTTACTGATTTTTATTACACACAAGGTTATTTCCCCAACTACAAAGAGTGTGGTGGCAGAGACCTGTGTTTCCCTTTCCTGTATAAGTGTACTGAATGAGAGAGAGAGGGAGAGAGAGGATGTGACACGTGACTAGGAAAAGGAGAAGTGATGTTGCTGATTAATTGATCACTGCTGAGCAGCAGGCAGGTACCAGAAAGGGAACTGGTTCAGCACTTTGCCCCTGGCCCATTCTTACCAAATTTGATGATTTCTGATTGCTGCCAGTGACAGCCAAAATAAGATAAGACTAGCACAGCGCCTTGTATTTGCTTTTGTGGGGTCCCGTCACTACTGTCCGCTAGCAGTGTACGTCCCCCACTGGTTGTGGCCTGTCCTGTGCATCCTTTGCTTTTTGAAAACAAGAGAAAAGAAAGATGGTTTTTCCGTGTTCCTCATGAGCAAATAGCTTCAGGGTGTGGCGGGGGGATCACCAGTTCCATTTAGGGTTTGAAGGTGATGGGCATTGACATGTTGAAAGGGAACTGTCTGTGGTGATTTCCTGGATATAAGTCTTTGGACCTGGCTTCAGCTTTTTTTTCTTTTTCCGGTACCGGGAATCGAACTCACGACCTTGCGCTTGCCGGGCAGGCGCTCTGCTGCTGAGCTGAATCCCCAGCCCCAATGGCTTCAGTTCTGACGAAACATACAGGAAAGCTCTCATCAGCTGCGTGGACACTTGCGGCTTCCCTCCCAGGAGAGGAGGGATGAATTGTGTTTCCTCAGGCTTGCAGCTGCCAGCTGCTGTGCTTCGGGGGCAGCAAAGTCCTAGACTTTCTGCAGGTCACAGGCAGATTTCAGGTAGGATTGGGAAGTCCCATGCTTATTAAAGGAGTAAATTGTAAAGTTCCTGCTACCTATTGAGGGCCGATGGCAGCTATTCACATTTTAATTTTAATAATAATTTCTAGTGCTTTTTAAAAATACTAATGTGACAGTATGAAGAGACTTCCAAGTTTTAGTATGGGTACGTCGCATCGGGCCAGTCCTGTTGGTAAGCCCTGGCTGGGAGCAGCTCCTCGGTGACGCACAGTAGGGACTGTGAAGCAGCCCATGGGACTCAGACTGTGAAAGTGCTGGAGTCGGGCAAGGGCCTGCTCAGCCGCTACTGGGGCATCTTCTCTGGGGCCAGAGGCGTCAGTCGGAAAACACTTTGCTTTGGATTCACTCCACAACCTAGGGATCCAACGAATAACTCCCACCTGTTGAGAAGGACACCTCGATTTACAGTGGTGCATTGCCGGAGGGGCAGCAATTCAGACACACTGTAGTTGTGACCTCTGCCAGGCTCACTGTGATGTGACCTTTCTACACCCCAACCCCTACAGGGGCTAGAGGCTGAGTAAGTTTTAATTTTCCAGAAAAGATGCACTCAGGAATGACCCCCTCTGGGATCTTCTTAGTTCAGCAAGCGGTTAATTGTGCCATCTTGTCCCTGTTCTTTTTTTTTTTGCTATAGTAGAGATTGATTGAAAATATATAATGTTTATTAATGTTGCAGCAAAGTGAGCCCACATTTTGAGTGTGGGTCCCCAAACCCAGCTTCTTACAGCAGACCAGAAAGAACACTACATATAGACCTGCGGCACAGTCTTGGGGACGGGTTGGGACCCCCATTCCCCACTTGGCCCCCCAGGTAGGAAATGTTCTCTGGAGCACTTCGCCGAAGGGGACCGCATGGTGCTCCCACCTCCACAACCCTGTCAGCGGCCCCCAGGCAGGCCCCGTGTCCTTAGATGCATCTGCCCGTCTGCAAACTTAACATCTTCCACTCAGAATCTAGACTCATTTAGTCCAAAGTCCTGTACAGTGAGTAAGTCCTTCCCACGGTAATTCCGATATTGGTTATTCCTGGGGGTAGTGCTCACCTCTTTTAAGGGTTGAGAGAATAATCTTTCGATTTGGGTTAAAACTTCTTAAAAGGAAAATGACGGACATGTAAGCTTAATCCATTGTTAATTCTGGGCTAATTTCAATTTATTGTTCGGTTGGACCTGGCTTTCTTTTCTTTTCTTTTTTTTAACTCAGCCTTTTTATTATCTTGGGTAATGCTCTACGGCATGTGAACAAATCTGAAATCCTTTTGCCCAGAGATAATGTACGAGCCTTAGAGCACCTTGTTCTCAGGTCGCTATTTATGTACATAATTAAAATCCAAAAGGAAACAAAACAAGCGTTGTCCTGTTTTCTTTACTAATATCACCGAGTGACAGTTTAAGCCTAGCAGGTTCTCCTGTGTGTGTGTGTGTGTGTGTGTGTGTGTGTGTGTGTGTGTGCGCGCGTGTGTGTACTAAAGACAACTGTTACCTCTCTTAGGGCCGTGGCAGCTGGAAGCCTGCAGCTCAGAAGAGAGTAAAGAAGGATCTGGGGCTATGAGGCAGTGCTTCAAAACCAGCACCAGGATCAAACCTGGAAGGAGCACAGTTTGCCTGACTAATCAGAAGATGCACAGAGGAAAACAGCGACAGTGACCTTCACTACGGCTGTCACCTCCCTGTTTGTACAGCGCTCCCGGCTCCTGAGCGCCCTGGAGACTACTGGTGAGGCAGCGTCCTTTTGCAGCGGCTGTGTGCGTGGCTGTGGGCTCCTCCTGTGTGCTCCCTCTGCTCACACTTCACAGAATCCTGTTCCCAGGACCAGTGTGATCAGCGGGAACCTTCTTTGGCTTCTCAACCAGCCGAGAAGAATGGCAGGGCCCTGGCTTTCTTCTCTGCAGTTTTTGTTAGTTCCTTTATCTTGATGCTGTGAGTATATATAGAGTGTTCTATGTTAATTTTCATGTTTCATAGTAAGCTTGAGCAAAAAAGTTTTTTTTTTGTTTGAGGGAAGTTGAAACCAACAATGGAGTCATCTATACATTTTTCTTAAGCATGCTGCTATCACCTCCAGCCGTGCTGAAGGGAGAGAATCTGTGACTGAAGGCTATCAGGAAACATTTCCTAATCAGTACGCCACACCTTTCTTGACCTTTTTCTCGTAGAAATGTGAAGTCATTTCCCAGGCTGGTAGAGAAATCGGCTTGTCTCCTGGAGAAGTGCCCCCAACCCTGCTACCTGCAAGGTAATCAAGGCCTATCCAGAGAAAAGTTGCTTTCCTTAAACTGATTTATTTTGTGAAAGAGACCTACGCACTGAGACACCCTTATGCTTGCCAGGGTGAGAGTCTCCAGGAAATGTGAGTGCAGGCTTCTATACTATGGCCCAACCCTTGGCTGGTTTCATATCTCCCTGGACCTTTTAAGTAGCCCTCTTTGATTTAGATGTTGGTGATTCTCATACCTAAAGAAAATGGTTTAAAATTGTTTTCCTTATCACTGGGTGATACATCATGGGCCCATTTAGCCGTGAAAACAATGCTGCTGGTCAAAGTTTCTCTTTGTTCCCAGCTTTTCATGTTAACAGGGTCTGCGCAGTAAAATCATTACTAGCGAAAGGGAAAGCCAGATTTGTGGCATGGCCCGTAACACACGTACATTGCTGAGACCACACACAGATCAAAAAGATAAAGGCAGGTATTGCTTTTGAGCAGTGACCCGTGTGCTAAAAATGAGGTTTCATCTCAGAGAGATGGAAAGAATGTAAGAGCTTTGCTTTCAGGGCAGCAGGAGTTTCCTTCCCTGTTCTGGTTACCTTTTACAAGAATAATGGGATGGCATTTTTAGTGTTTATAGTTGTCCCCACTTCACTACTGATAACTGAAAAGAGCATATCTTCCCCCTCCCCTGGGAGACACTATAGGAAGAGAAACCATCCCACGAGGAGCTGGGAACTTGGGCTCTCAGCTACATGGCCTGAGCTCATCCCTGATTCTCTGCTGTGTAACTCTAGGTGGTAGTTTTCTGTAAAGCAGGCTTGATAACTGTACTTATTTCATGAGGTCATTATAGAAATTAGTGGAAACAATAAAAGTAAAATGCCCAAAACAGGACATGGATCCTAGTAAGGTTTCAATGGCTTGCTATGATTATAGTAAAATATTAACTGTACTGACATCAATGTACTTTGATGCAAATTTAATTGCATAATCAATTTGCTCCAACATTAATAAATATCATCGTATTTCCAGTCCATTTCTACCATGGCAAAAAAGCACAAAGCAGACAGTATAACTGACCATTTGTTGAACTAAAAAGATTGCCTCTTGGACTCATCGTCTCTAAGAAAAGGGAGAAAGAGACAAAAGTTTTTCCATTCTGTAGGTTGTCTCGTCACCGTGTGGTTTGTTTCCTTTACTGTGCAGGTTTTTAATTAGATCCCACTGGTTGATACTTGGTGTTATTACTTGTGCCAGTGGGGTTGTATTCAGAGAGTTCTTCCCTATGCCTGTGTGTTTACAAGTTCTGCATATGTTACATTGCAGCATATGAAGTGTCTCTGCTTTAACATTTACAGCTTTGATCTGCCTTGATTTCAGTTAGTACAGGGTGAGATGTATGAGTCTAGACTCAATCTTCTGCATGTGGATACTCATTTTTCCCAGAATCCGTTATTAAAGGGGCTATCTTTCATCCAGTGTGTGTTTTTGGCCCCTTTGTCAAAGATCAAACAGGTGAGTAGACCTGGGGCTGTTTCTGTTTCCTCTGTTTCATTCCACTGATCCACATGTCTGTTTTTATGCCAGTACCGTGCTGTTTTTATCACTATAGCTTTGTAATATAACTTCAAATACAGGAATGTGATGCTTCCTGGTTTGCTTTTGTCACCCAGAATTACTTTTGCTATTCTGGCTCCTTTCTTGTTCCTTATGAATTTTAAGATTGTTTTCTCTAGTTCTGTGAGGAATGCTGTTGGTGTTTTGTTTGGGATTGCATTAAATCTATGTGTACGTTTTGGAAGTATAGCCAATTTGACTATATTGGTTCTGCCTATCCAGGAACATGGGATAATGTTCCATTTTGTGATGTTCTCTTTGATCTTCTTTTTTCAGAGTCATGTAATTTTCATTGTAGAGGCCCATGTGCCTGTTGACAGATGAATAGATAAAGAAAATATGGTATTTATACACAGTGGAGAAGTACTAAGCCATAAGGGACAAACTTAAGGATTCATAGCTAAATGGATACATCCTGAGACCATAATATTAAGTGAAATAAATCAGACACAATACTTAAATATTGTATGTTTTCTCCTATATGAGGAACCCAAAATATAAATGAGCAAAATAAAATATAGATAATAGGAAGTAGGGAGATCTTTTTCAAATGAGAAGGGGAACAAGAGGGAGAGGGGAGGGGAAGGGAGGAAAAGGGGTAGAAAAGAACTGAATAAAAAATGGAAATAGAGCTTTTGGAAATAAGAAAGGAGTCAAGAATTGGAATGAACAGGGAGGGTTGGGAAGGGTTTGGGATTGAAAAAAACCAAGGCATGTTATGTACATGTACTGACTCCCCACAATGAAGGTAATCATTATGTACTAATAAAAAATAAAAGTAATTTTCAAATGTAGAGTGAGCTGTACTGTTGGCAGTGCTATTGGTTACTACTAAGGTAGCTATCTCAAACCTGCTTTTAACTTTCTGGATTGGCTTGACCCTGGGTGCATGTTTGAGTTACTCAAAAAGCTTTAAAGATATTTTGATGCCTGGCCCCATGAGAGAAACAGCATGATGTGGTCCACAAGATGTAGTAGACCTGAGTTCAGATCCTGGCTTCACCATTTTTAGCTTGACAAACCTAGGTGAGCTTTTAACCTCTCTGTTTCCTGATGAGATGCAGGTTGTTATAAGGATTAAAGATAATGTATACAAAGCCCTGAATGCAAATCTTGGTCTGCAGTAGGTGACCGATATGCGGCATTAATAACCTATTTTCTCTAAAGATCCCAGCCAGATGTGTGGGATCCACTGAACACAAGTCTAGAAAATTCTCCTTGAAACATAGTCTTGGATAAGAATCGGGGAAGGTCTCTCACTCTACAAATGAGAAAACTAAAGTACAAAAAAGTTGTTCAAGGATACATAGCCAAAAATAGACCAGAATTTAAACCAAGGTCTCCCAACTCCTTGTCCACTGTTTTTCTTTCTATTCTTTAGTTCTAATCACTGGTCCCCAGTAGCCCCAGATTTTGGCTTTGGATCCCAGGGCCAGCTTCATATTTTACCTTCCAGCACAGGTAACCCTTAACCCCTTCCAGTGTGTAGTTTTATGTTGCAGCAACACTGAATTGCTATTTCCCGATACTCATGATGGCTGTTTTTCACCTGTTGCTTTGGCTTATGAGATCATGCCCACCTGAAATGCGCTCTTTACTCTCATTTTCTACACAGCTCCACAGCTCCTGCTTTTGCACACGAATGATTCACCACTACAGCAATTGCCTTCCCCCTGTAACATCTAGGGAGATGGAGGAGTCCAGAATTTACAGTGGGATATAACCACAAAGGGAGAACTCACTGGAAAGGGAGCTCCAAAAATCCCAAAATCTCTGTAGTTGCCACAGCTTACATTTGAGGGCAGCTTTTCAGCACACTGCCAAGGGTGTCATAATCAAAGTACAGCCCCTTGCTCAATTTAGAGGATAGAAATAAATATCTAGAGATGGAGGAGACCAGAGTTTGCAGGGCAGATAACCATAAAGGGAGAACTCACTGGAAAGGGAGCTCCAAAAACCTACAGAGGGTTCACTGAATGTCTTTGGCAAAGCATTACCAGTCTGCACGTGTGTGTAAAGAAGTAATCGAGAACAGGAAAAGAACTTTCAGAGATCCCTAAGCTGAACAACACCAGGAGCTCGTAGAAGCTTCTAGTGGATCAAGCTGATTTGCCACAAAATCTAACACTTTTTAAGGAAGATAATAAAATTGAGTACCTAATAAAATAGAATTCATAATGCCTGCACAGTAATTCAAAAAGCAATTATTAGAGATGCCAAGAAATGTAAAAACATGATTTCTAATAACGGAAAAATGAATTAATAGAAACAGATTGGGAAGTGATAGAGATAATGGAATGAGTAGCGAAGGACATCCCCGAGCTTATCCTTAAAGATGGAGAGGAGAACATACACAGGATAATAGAAAACAGAGGACTTGAAAAGTCTCAGACGGGACGTTACAGAGGTGAAAATACATGAAATAAGAATTAGAGTCCAGTGTGGCAGTGCACACCTGTAATCTCAGCACTGGAGAGGCTGAGGCACAAGAGTTGCAACAAATTTGTGGCCGATCTGGGCTACCTAGTGTGTTCAAAGCCAGCCTGAACTACATAGTGAGACTGTGTCTCAAAGAAAGGCTGGATAAGATTGCCAGAATATTCTATGATATGGAGGAGAAGATCACATAGCAATAAAAACTAACCAAAATGAGCCATACGTTAAAAAGAAAGACAAGGAAACCAAACCAAAGACACATTCGCACACTCGTAGACCTCCCGATGCACTCTGAGGCCATAGTAAGTCAAGCGACGTATGTATAATTAGAGTCCCAGAAATGTGACATGGAGAGAAACAGGAACATATCTGAAGAAGTAATGGTTCAAAATTATGTAAATCTTATAAAAAATGTAAACCCAACGATCTACGAAGCTCAACAAACTCCAAAAAGAAGTACCATAAAGAAAACCAGGGGCTGGGGATTTAGCTCAGCGGCAAAAGCGCCTGCCTGGCAAGCGCAAGGTCATGAGTTCGGTTCCCGGTACCGGAGAAAAACCCAAGGGAAACACAAAAAAAAAAAAAAAAAGAAAAAAACAGAAAAAAACAGAAAATCATAGCCAGACACATCATAATTAAATTTCTAAGGCCAGAGCCAAAGAGAAAATCTAAATAGCAGCCAGAGAGAAAAGGATGCATCATGTGCAGAAGAACAAAGGATTGCAGCTTGCTTCTAGTCACAAACCAGGCAGACTCAAGACAATAAGAGGTCATCTTTAAAGCGCTGAAACAAAACAAAACAAAACTCAAACCACCAAGCTAGAATTCTATTCCCCATGAAGACTTTTTCAAAGATGAAGACAAAACACAAGCATTTTCAGGTCAACAAAAGGTAACAGAGTGTCACTATAAGAAGCAAAAGGAGTTCCTTCACAGAAGGAAAGCGATCCAGATGGAAACTTTACCCACAGAAAGAGATGAAGAATGCTCCAAATGGTAAATATATGGGGAAAGATATAGGAAAAATATAAATATATGGAAAAATGTAAAAATATGGGGAAAATATAAATATATGAGAAAGTATGGTTTTCTTCTTATTTTTAATTTCTTCCCCATCTATCCATCTTCAAGGAAGACTTCTGTTTCTCTACCACCTCTTCGCAAGTCGGGAGTGAAAAATAGAACTCATACAGATACGAATTGCTGAGGTGAATGAGCGGTACTTGTGTACGCCTATAAGAAACGCAGGGGACAGCGGTAAACTGAGGAACGCATCTGGCATTTAAAAGGAGGATCCATTACGCAACTTGAGTTGATCGTTGTTGGGATGGAATTGAGCGGACACTTCCTTTCACGTTAGCAACTACTTTAACTTAACCAAAATAAAAAAGTCCTAGCACATACGTATCACATGCTGTCTTCAGCCTTTAAGTCACCTGGGGCAAGGATTATTTTAAATATTCTTCACTTACGTTTTCATAATGCAGGCTGGTTTTCCCTTTTACAGTTACTAAAATATATTCCAATTTTTTGGGTTACAAGGTATGTCTTCTTGACTGCATTTGTACTGTTTGTGGGCAAGACTCATGTCTTATTTATTTATTTATTTATTTGGTACCAGGCATCGAACTCATGACCTCACACTTTCCAGGCAGGCATCATGCCGTTGAGCTGTATTCCCAGATCCTCAGGTCTTATTTATTGCTATATTCCAGACAGTGATACATAGCCCAGTATGGTAAGCACTCATTGAATACTTATTAAATTGAAAATCGTTTTAATACGTGATTTTCACAAGTGAGCTCATTCTACCTACAGTTCAGGGAAGTGGGGCAAAGTTTAAGAGTGAAGCTCTAGACTTAAATTTTGGTGGAGTATTCTGAGGCTGTGTAAAAATCCCTGGGTGCACTTTCATTTATTTAATGCATAAGTCTGTGCTATCCTCGTCTGGGAAATGTTCTGGGGGAATCACAAATATGAGGGTAAATCCGTGTGGTATTCTGGTAGCAGCACTCTTTCTTCAATGCCTTTATTTTTGGAATAAAAAAGGAAACTCGCGTTTAAAAGGTGGATCCATTACCCAAAGATCCATTAAAAGAAGGATCCTCCTTTTAGTAACTGTAACCACAAAGCATGCCCCTTCCCTCCTCCAGGAAACACCTGTCCTAATATGATGTCCCAGAGATGCGTCTGTCACTGCATGAGTTTGTCTCTGAATGTCATCAAAAGGATAGGTGCGGAGTCTCTCTTATGTATTCTTTCCAGCTTAGCTTTTCTTTTATCTCCCCTCACCTACCTCTGCTTCACATGCTTCCCCTCAACCTGCACGTGTTCATCTCACCACTGAAAATAACCAACCTAGCAAAAGGCAACAGTTTTTGGAAAGTTGGCCCAATGCTCAAAGCGAGACAGTTGTGTATGGAGCCTGTATGTGCCAGGTGAATGACATGATGTCATTCAGTGCTCACGGTAATCTGACAGGATAGTGCTTAATCTCCGCTGCACAGATAAGAACGCTGGAGCCCAAGCTTTCATAGCTCCTGTGTTCTGACCTTGGATTTTATGTTCTGCCTACAACTTTGCTTATGAAAGCAGCACTACCTGGAAGGTGTTTAGAAGGGCAGTACCTCACCATCCCGTCGTCCCCAAATCTCCTGAGTCAGAATTGAAATGTTGGCAAGATCCCTCAGTGACCCACACATCCTGGAGTTGGAGAAGCCCCAGTCCAGATTGTACCATCTCTTGTTGGGCACATACCCCAGTGCTTTATGGCTTGGAAACCCCAGGGTATTTCCCAGGGCGCCCACCTTTGAAGTTACAGGATGAATGACGCAGCAGGATTTTGCCAGTGGAATCCCATTATGCCGATATGAAGATCTGTCCTCAGATCCCCCTCCTTTTCTCTTGCTTTCAATTCCTCACGATATCTCACTTTCCACTTCTAAGCACAGAGCAAGAACAGGGAGTCTGGGACGTTTGTAAGGAGGTGAATGAGGCCAGAGGCTTGCTTTCTGCGCTGATGCTCTGAACAGCACATGGCCCCGGCTTCTGAAATGACTCTGAGACCCCCAGTTTCTCCCAGGAGCTGCTCATGTCCTTGTGCAAGCCCACACAGCCGTGCTGTGGGAGGCACGGTAGAGACGTCCTCCCAGGAAACATCCGTTGTGCAAAAGTCTTGGCAGAACCACAGCCGTAGCATTAGCTCTGGGTACAAAGGTGCACGGATGGTGGGAACCTTCCTAGAGTTCATTTTTCCACTGATATCATCCACAAGCAAAAGTCTAACCACTTCATATGCATCTTACTGAGTCTAAAACACTGTGGACCTGAGTTATGATAAAAGCGGAGTCTCAAAATACTACATAAGGGCAAAGTTGTTGGCTTGTTGGTGAAAAGATTTTTTCCAGTTGAAATGTTTTGTATACATTTGCTTTGCCATAGCGGTGGCAGCAAAGGGTGTCTTTATGACATCCCTAACAGCCATTAGGATGTTAATAAATAATTTATCTTTTTTCTTCTTTTCAAGAGGTAGGGCATTTCTGTTTGCCTGTTCTCTCTTTGGAACCCTTTTGTATTCCTCACCTCCCCTCTGCAGGGGTCTGAGTTAGGCAGAATGAGCTGCTGTAGAGAGATGGGAGGAATTCTTTCCTCCTGAGACATGGCCAGTTGGGGCAGAATTCTGGGACAGAGACCAAGTTTTCTGCCAACAGTACGGAGCGTAAAACTATAACACAGTCTTTAATGTTGTTATAACTTTATTTTCCACATTAAATTAATGGAAATACTTCATAGGAGTAGTGCCGTTTGTGGAGGCGGCACGGCATAGCCGAGCGTATCTGTGGGCGCTCATCCACTGGGTAGCCAAGGGGCAGAATTCTCAAGGCTCCTGCATTCACAAGATTAAAAAGTTTCATCCTACAATCAAAGCACTCAAAGGGGGCGCTATGAGATCATTTTATGTGCTTTCTTCCTCAAAGATAGGCAGACACCCAAATTTTTACAGAGATGAGAGGCAGTGAGGTATAATAAAAGTAAGATGATGTGGACGCAGATGGGGGCAGTTGCTTAACTTATCTGATTCTTAACTTTCTCATATTTCAAAACTAGGAAATAGGAACTTTGATCCTGAACACAGCCTCAGAAATTGATTATTAGATAGTAAAACAATGGATTTAATCCGAAAGGTGAGGGGTGGCGGGGGATGATTCTATTCCCATGTCAATTTTATAGACACATTATATGAGATATTTCATTTTTAGCATCTCACATATGTTCTGTAATTTTATTTTTCTTTGCAGCTGAACATGTTGACAACCTCTGTGAGCGTCTGGCTTAGGTTAAAAATTTATCACTTTTAATCTGACCAGTAATTTTCATCTTTTTCTGGATCGTATTAAGTTTATGATACTCTTACCACAAGCATATTACCTTTATTTTTATATTTTCCATCATTTTAGTAGAAAATAATGACAAATTACAGGAACATAGTTAAGTAATTACACCAATATTGAGTTTTTGGTTTGGACCACTCCGTCCACGGAAGTTATTTGTTGAGTGTAATTATCAGTCATTACTGTTGTTACAAACAACACTGAAATGTCAGGGATTTAGCTATTTTGTTCACAGAGTGATGAAGCTGGTCCTGCCTGGGCAACCCTTCTTTAAGATGGAACTCAGGGGGCCTGTCAGTCCTCAGTGGTTCTGCCACCCGTTAGGACCTGCCTGGGAGGCCTGCGCCAAACCTGCTATATTCAGCAGCAGATGAGCGGAGAGAGAGAACGGGGAGAATCTCACAGGTCTCTTAAAGGGTCAAGGATGAAAGTCCATACATCACATCCGCTCACATCCACGGACCGTCAGTTGTCACAACATGCCATCCAGATGAAAGAAGTCGGGGCGAAGGACGCTTTCCCTTGTGCTCAGGGGAGAGACGAAGTGGTTTTGTGAACCCATCGTATTGTCTGCCTGACAGCGTTTCTGCCAAACTAAATTGTTAGCTGACAAGATGCCACCAGAGGCTCTTTCAAAAAGATTGTTCATCGACTTATGTACAAAATGCTAGTTTTGGCAGATAGTAAGCAGTTCATGGCTGTCCGCACATGATAAGAATGTCGCCCGCGTGGCAGCTGAGGACCATGTGCCTATCGCGTGCTCAGAGTCACATCTACGGCTGAGTTGCTGCACGAAGAGTGAGATGTGTATGTAAACAAGCCTAGCTCAGTGTTTGCACTGACCAGTGCTTCTCCAAGTTTGAAAGCTATGGCCATAGACATTGGTCTTCTTCTTTTTTTCTTTTAAGGAAAGGGAATTGTCCTTTCAAAGAAAATGAATTCCCTCATCGTTTCTTCTGGTGAACTTCTCTCGTGATGTGTGGATTCCTGCCATTTTTTATGTATTGCCAAATTTGATTTGTCTACAGTACAATCGTATTAATTTTAAATGGGTCCCCTAGAAATCGTAGAACATGCGGTCGTCACTCTTCCTCTACTTCACCAAGGCCAAAGCCATTTGGCCATCTGTAGGACTTTCCTTCTTTTGGCTCACTTAAAATCTTTTGGATAGGGGCTGGGGATTTAGCTCAGCGGCAAAGCGCCTGCCTGGCAAGCGCAAAGTCATGAGTTCAATTCCTGGTACTGGAAGAAAAATGAAAAACAAACAAACAAACAAACAAAAAAATCCTTTGGATATATCTACTTTTTAACCCATCACTCAAAGTATATTATCTGCTATATTCTTGTGAGGTTTTCTTATGTGTGAGAACTGTATCATCGTAATAATTCCATATCTAAGAAACTTTCTACTGACTTCTCCTTTGAAATAATGAATGTTCACTTCTCCTTTGCTTTCTGTCAAGATTGTGTTTTATGTGAGATTGTCTCAGGAAAACAAGGACTTGTCTACAAAATCAAGAGTATTAATTTATCCCAATAAGCTACTGTTATCTAAAATTTATCAGCCGTACCATCTCAGTGAAAGATTTTGAAAGAAGAAATTTTCTACCAGGATAAAGGTACATGTGATTCCTTATCCTTCTCCGTAATCTTGTCTGCACCTCGAAAGTAGAATTTTCTAAAACCTACTGTCTCCTTGGAGCGAATCAAAATTTGTCCCGCATCTCCCTTCCTGCTGGGCCCCTGTGTGATCAACGGCTGCCTCATAATGTGGAGACTGCCGAATAGAGCTGGGATAATGTTCTGTCTGGTCTGTCTTGGGTTTGGGGGAGTTCACTTGCTCAGTTTCAGAGGTATCGCGACCAAGAGGGATGGGGGCCATGTTTTCTTGCTTCCTTACCAAGTGCCTTATCAGTTTCCTGTGCAGCTCCCTTCTTTTGCTTAATAGGTTTCTGGATATTCTCATTTATTAATGTTAAAAATTCCTTTTCAGATGAATCACCCAGTTACATGCTC